TTTTTCTTTTTCCTTTTATTTATTTACTTTTTTACATTTACTTACCTGTGTATATGTTGTTTGTACCATCTTCCCCAACCCCCTTGATTTAAAGTTTTTACTGGAAAGACTTGTCTTTTTTTTTTTTAAGTCACTGTAGATTTTTTTTTTCTCTCTCTCTTATTTAGGTTCAGTTGACTTTTTGGTAGTGAAATGTTTAAATTTTTCATATCCTTTTGTGTTTACTGTGTAGCTGTTATCTCTGGATATCATGGAGATTACATTTAACATAACACCATGTTTGAATTTGTATGAGCTTATTTTCAATAACAAAAAAATTCTCCTTTACACTTCCATTCTCTTCTGCCCCTTTGTCACAAAATTATATTTTTATACATTGTGTGCCCAAAACATAAACTAATAATTCCTTTAAAGGCATTGGTTTCTTAAACTATGTAGAAAACAAAACATGAAGCTACAAACCTAATTACACTAGCTTTCAGACTAATAATTGTTGTTTTAAAATGTATTAATGTTTCAGAAACATGTCTGTCTTTAAGTACTGGCCATTTAAAGACAAAAGATGTGACTGAAGAAAGAGGTGGGCAAGCCCAAGACTGGATAAAATGTAATTAATTTATTAGGGACTAAACAGACAGAAGCATGTTTTGGGTGGTATCAAGATACCCCAAAGGGGAAGAAGGGGCTTATATACAAAGCTGGACAGCCACCTAGAATGAACTTGGGCTTTCTCAAACTTATCAAGGGCTAGGGGTCTGGTTCAAGTGGTAGAATGTTTGCAAGGCCCTGAGTTTAAACCCTAGTACTGCCCTTCCCCCAAAAAAAAGAAAGAAAGAAAACAAAACACCAAGGGTCAGTGAAGAGACAGTCTAGGCTTCAGTTCCTGGCCTATAGGAACCTATAGTTCACCTATAGGAACTAGAATGTGTTCCAGGGGGCATCTGGCGGATAGTGTTTTAACCAAGATGGCTGTGATCACATCAAGCTGATCACTGCAATTAGTCTCAGAAATCATGTAGAAGACAAAAAGTGGAATTACAGTCCATGGTTACAATCATGGCTTTTACAATTACCCAGGTATTTACCTTACTGAAATTTTTATTTCTCCATATGGCTTCAAGTTACTGTATTGCACAATGTCCTTTCATTTCTCTTTGCTGGACTCAATTGAACATTTCTTGCAAGGCAAGTCTAGTGGTAATGGATTCCCTTGGCTTTTATCTTCCTAAGTAAAGAAAAAAAATTATCCTTCACTTGTGGAAGAGTTTTACTGCATAAAGGTTCTTCACATTTTTTTTTCTTTTACCACTTTGAGTACATTGGCTGTATTCATCAGCTTCCCATTGCTGTGACAAAATACTGGAGACAAACAACATACAAGGAAGAAAGGGGTACTTTAGTTCAGTTTTAGTCCATGTTCTCTTGCCCTTGTTGACCTCAGGCCTATCGTGAGACATTATATAGCAGCAGTAAACACATGGCACATGAGGAGGTCTGTTCATTTCATGGCAGCTGGGAATCAGAGAGAGATAATGGGGTCATGCCCCCAATATTTCCTTCAAGGACAACCATCCTTCCACTAGGTTCTACCATCTCCCAATAGTACCACAGGCTGATTGCAATTAAGCCTTAAACACATGGCCTTTGGGGAACAAGGAAGATCTAAACTCTAGCATAAATCTACTACCGTCTGGCCTCCAAAGTCTCTAAGAAATCTTCTGATGTTCTTATGCTCCTTACATGTAATGAGTAACTGCTCTCTGCTGCTTTCAGGATGCTGGTATCCACCTGGAAAATTTGCTAATTACATATTTTAGTGTGGGTCTCTGAGTTCATCTTACTTGAAGTCCACTGGGCTTCTTGGATATTTATATTCATCTCTTCCATCAAATTTGGGAATTCTTCAGCTACTGTTTCTTCAAATATTCTTTGGCTCTTTGTCTCTATCTTGTCCATGAATCCCACAAAGTTTACATTGGTCCACTTGATGGTGTCCAACACATCTCAATGCAGGTTAGGGCATGAATTTGGAGAGTCAATCACAACTATATGTATGCATTCTTCATGCATTACTAACACACACAGTCTTTAATGCTATTCACCATAAAAGAGGAGGATTACTTCATTGGGTGTAGATAATTTAATGGTTCCAGACAGCAATAAATGGGATAGATCTGGAATATCATCTTCAATGTGGGGGAAAAAAAAAACCCAAAGCTTCCAATGGAGGCTAGGGAAAATCAGGAAAGGATAAAGTAGCAAATGAAAATGGAAACAAATGAAGTTCTATATAGTCTACTGTATAAACTATGGTAAAAACAAGGACAATACTCAACACAAATAGCAACAATTGTATTACAGCTATTTGGAGTAACAGCCTGAAATACTATGAGTTCCTAACATTTCAAAGGAAAATATAAAAGTAATGTGATCAAAATGTACTTGCAATTAAAAATAAAGGAAGCACCATCAGGATACATTTTATTCATGAATTTATCATTTATTCATTAATAACATAAAAAATTAACAATAGCTATTAATGTTTCTGTTAATTTCATGTCTATATACAATTTAGATAACTCATTCTATTACTTTCCTTAAACTGGAAAGTAAAAAAAAAAAGCACAAAGGAATGTAAAAGTAATTCTAGAGTAGTACACACCCAAGAAAAGGTAAGTAACTCAGCACTGATGTTCACTCATAATAACAATAAAGAGTAGGAACAAAAAAATAAATCAGTAGTGGTGCTTACATAGTATTAATGAATAGAGTGTTCTGCTGTGCTTCAAAGATACACAATAAAAAAATCCTAATAAATAGGTTAACAACAGAGACTAGTTCTCTTACTGCATAAGACAAGAAAGTTACCAATCATATAGCTTTAACTATTTAAATAAAATACTATTAAGGAATACCTAAAGAAAATATACCTCAATATATCCAATGAGAAAATGGTTACTGGTGGTGATCGTGCAAAACTTCAAAGAGTACAAAAATTTTGGGAAATACACCCATTTAAACTCTAAAATATAATGAATAACAGTGATACAAACTTACCTAAACATTATAAGTTTCTTAATAAAAATCTAAAAGTGGCTCATGATCTCATTTGATTGCATAACCCAGTCAGCTGCCCTAAAATAGACAATTTTGGAATCATGTGAAATTACTAAAATCAAAGATGGCCTACCCTATTTGTTTATTTTATGGCACTAAGGATTATACCCAGTACCTCACACAGGCTAAGGATGACTTTCATCATTGAGTCATACCCCTTGTGCCAAAGATCTACTGTTCACTGAACTGCCTAAACCCAGAAAGGCAAATGAGAGGGAATAAAAAGAACTAGGCTGGGCACCTCACACCTGCAATCCTTGCTACTCAGGATGGCAGTTCAAGGACAGGCAAAAAAGCTTGAGAAACACCATCTCAACTACTAAAAGCTGTAAGTGGTGGTGCACTCCTGTCAAAATATAACTAACTAAAGCAAAAAGAACTGTGGATGTGACTCAGTGGTAGACATCTGCCTAGCAAGCATCTACCTGAGGTCAAATCCCAGTACTACAAAAAGAAAAAAAAAAGAGAAAAATTGTAGGAAATGACACAAAACCCAACTGAAGTAATGGTAACGTATAGTTATAAATCTTCTTAAGTTTAGTGATCAGGTTTTTGTTTTTGGAGTACTGGGGCTTGAACTCAGGGCTTACACCAAGAGCCACTCCACCAGCCCTTTTTTGTGATGGACTTTTTTTCGAGATAGGGTCTCTCGAACTATTTGCCCATGCTGCCTTCAAATCTTGATCCTCCTGATCTCTGCCTCCTGATTAGCTAGGAAAATAGGCATGAGCCATCCACACCCAGCTATTGATCAGTTTTTACTCACTACAATACTTATAGAGTTAAAAGGTGATTTAAAAATTTAAGAGATTGATAAGCTTTTTTTTTAAAAAAGGATCTTGCCTTTTAGCCCAGGCTGGCCTGGAATTCATGATCCTTTTGCCTCAGCCTCCAGACTGCTAGGATTACAGGCATAAGCTGAAGCTTATGTCAGCTAAAGATGACAAATTTTAAGAGGCTACTTAGATTAGAATTTTTCATCTAATATTTATAAGTGTTGCTTTCATTTTGATCCTAGCTGATACTGCCTAGAGGTGAAAAGGCTTCTCAGAGGAATTGTTTTGTGATATATATTTAAAGCAATTTGTTGTGTCAAAATACAAATTTTTAAAAGTCAATGATTTGATGAAAATGGAAAAGAAACTATGCATCTACAAATAAAAGCAGGCTGGGGATGTGGCTAGAGGTAGAGTGACTGCATGTGCAACCTTCATGGTTCAAGCCCCAGCACTACCCCCACACACACACAGCACTATAAAACAAAAGAAATACAAGGCAGGACCATGAGACATTAAAACCATGTTTTACCTACCTAGGAGTTCTAACTCTCTAGAGAAAAATAAGTAGATCATATATAGAAGCAAAGAAATAGAATGCAAAATAAAGTAGTTGGGTAATACCACAAATATTAGAAATGCCAAAAAGCAAAATATAAACATAAAAAGTTATTGTAAACAAAACACGCCTGGACCACAAAACTCAACTCACCACTAATTAGGTGAACATGTACTCCGCATATTGTAGGATTGGACAAATAGGGACCATCCTATGTCAGCAGATAATTTTAATCAGAATGTAGAAAAGAAATATTTAGAATGTAATATTAAGTATTAAGAATGTAAAAAGAAATATTTAGCAATGTGTAACAAAACTTTTATTACCCATGATTAAACAATTCCTTTCTAAATGCAGAATGGCCATGAAGTGTAGAAATCCATCTTAGAAGGGCAGTGACACTAAATCCCCTTTGTTATGTCTTACTAAATAAACCCTCCAGTGAAAATCAGTAACCAAAGATCTCTGCATTCTCATTTAATTCAAATGTCTTCTCACCACTAGAAATTTTCTGATCTCAAGTTAAGTTGCTCATCTACACTAAAGGCTGGCACACTCCTTACATTCACAGGGCTTCTCTCCAGTATGAATTCTCTGATGTTTTGTAAAGGAAGAACTGTGTCTAAAGGCCTTCCCACACGCCTTGCATTCATAGGGTTTCTCTCCAGTATGAATTCTCTGATGTTCGGTAAGGGCTGATCTGTGTCTGAAGGCCTTCCCACATGCCTTGCATTCATAGGGTTCCTGACCACTGTGAATTCTCTGATGTTGAATAAGGGCTGAAGTAAGTCTAAAGAACTTCCCACACTCCTTACATTCATAAGGTTTCTGACCACTGTGAATTCGTTGATGTCGGGTAAGTTCACTACCTACTCCAAAAGCTTTCTCACATTCTTTACATTTATAGGGTTTCTCACCAGTATGGATTCTCTGATGTCTAGTCAGGGATGAACTGTTTCTGAAGACCTTTCCACATGACTTGCATTCATAGGGTTTCTTACCTGTATGAATTCTCTGATGTCGAGCAAGTTCTCTACAGACTCCAAAAGCCTTCCCACATTCCTTACACACATAAGGTTTCTCACCAGTGTGAATTCTCTGATGTTCAGTGAGCTGTGAACTAATTCTAAAAACCTTCTCACAGTGTATACATTTGTATGGTTTCTCACCAGTGTGAATTCTCTGATGTTCAGTGAGCTGTGAGTGAAATCTAAAGTCCTTGCCACATTCCACACATCGGTAAGGTTTCTCATCAGTATGGATTTTCTGGTGTCGAGCAAGTTGCACGTGTACTCTAAAGGACTTCCCACAGAATGTACACACATGGGGTTTTTCACCATCATGAATTTTTTGAAGAGGAATAATTTCTCCAACTCTTCTAAAGGACTTCCTATATTCCTTGTGTTTATAGAATTCCCTGTCACTATGAATTTTCTGGTATACACTAAGATCCTCAGAAAAACTAAATGTATTACTACATTCCATATATTTACAAGGTTTCATCCCAGTGTGAATACTCAGTTGTAGTGAATGTGAATTATTTATCTCAAAGGTTTTCCAACATTCATTACATTCATTTGTTTTCTGACCATTATGTATTCTCTGAAATTGATCAAAGTTTGAGTCACAGCTGAAGACACTCCCATATTCCTTATATTCATAGGGCTTCTCACTGTCATACATTCCTTGAGGTACTGTAAGAGATTTATGATTTTTGCAATTGGGCTCTTTGTCAGAGCTGATTTTCATTTGACTGAAACATTCCCCTTCAGATCCTTGTACTTCAATCTTACTTTTGCTTTGCCAGACATTTCTGAAGATGGAGCTGTCAAGGCCAATGCATTTGCTACTTTCCATTATTTCCAACTGAGAACCACTGGTTCCAGTGTCCTTCCACACAGATATACTCTTTGTCTCGTATCTGGCTCCAAATCTGAAGAAAAAAGAGAAAGATAACTTCTTTTTCTATGTGTCACAAAAATAAAACTTATAGAAAGCAGAAGAAACAAACTAAAAATAATTCACAATTTAAGTGAATTGTTAAAATACTTTCATGAAATCAGCAGAAAAATAAAGAGAGATTAGAGAATGATAACAGTGTGACATAAAATTGTGAGGTTGGTCATAAGGAAAATACATTAAGTCATTGGATCTGAGATTCAGGTATTGCTTATTAATTGATTCACAATCTAGAGATATAATAATTGGCCATTACTGTCTTGTAGAGGCACTACTAATACAGACTATATATATATATATATATAGTGTATATATATATGTAGTGTATTATATATATATATATATATATATATATATACACTTTTTTTTTGTGGCACTGGGACTTGAACTCAGGCCTATTTCTTGAGTCACTCCACCAGCCCTTTTTTGTGATGGGTGTTTTTGAGATAGGGTCTCAGAACAATTTGCCTGGGCTGGCTTTGATGCATGATCCTTCTGATCTCTGCCTCCTGAGTTGCTAGGATTACAGACATGAGCCACCAGGGTGTGGACCAGACCAGAATTTGGACCATACACACCAAATGTTTTTGAATTATTTTTCTTTTTCCTACAATAAAATCCAAACATTTTATCATGGACAAAAAGGTGCTGCTTCTGAGACCTCACTTTAATCCATTCCCTCCCTTTGTTTTGATTTTTATATCCTAGATAAAAAAACATGTTTCATCATGTATGCCTACTCACAGGACATTTCATCTCTCACAAAACAGTTTGTATGCCAGCTTCTTTTCATTGATTAGGTCTTGTAAATTCATTTTTCTTTTTCTTTTCTTTTCTTTTTTTTGAGACAGGTTCTTATTATGTTACCCAGGTTGGTCTCTAAATGTGGACTCTGGGGTTGGGGGTGTACCTCAAGTGGCAGAGCTCTAGTGTAGTATCCACAGAGGTCTTGAGATCATTATCCAGGACCATAAAAGAATGCTTTAACTGTGGACTTGAATAATCCCCCCACTCTAGCCTCCCAAGGGCTGGGACTACAGGTGTGTACCACAGTACCTGATGGCAAATTCATTTTTATGTCTCTATTCTGATATCTACTTCCTTACTTTCATATCCACTTTTCAATTCATTTTTCTGTTATACTGTTAATTTCCTATTCCTTGAGCCCCACAAGAACAACTACAATAATATTTAATGTGCCAATTAATAACAAGTCCCAAGGACATAGGGTATGATAATTAGCTAGGATAATTTACTTTAGGAAAAGTAAATTGCTAGATGAAAGGAACCTAAGTAAAAAGAAAAGCAAAGATACTACACTGTGGAGAAGTGACTCCAGTATAAATCATACCCTCTCATGTAGAGCAATAGTTGCTTTTCATCATCCCAAATGTCAATGAACATGAGATGTTTTGTTTACTTCTCTCCAGAAGCATTTTCACAATTACTCGTCTACTGAAATTTGTCTATTTTTTCTTTGTCCTCTTTGCCAGATATCCTTTGCATTTTCTTATACTCAAAAACTGACATGTTTCCATTCTTCCCACCAAAAGCATTGTCACATTTCAGATATTCAAATTAGTAAATACCATATTGTTATCCATATGCAATTCTGAAAAAAGGCTTGTGTCTGAAAGGAGACTATGCTAAGAGGAGGTAGTGTAGATGGGCAAGAGTTTAATGCACTCTGCAACAAAGGAAGCTTTGGATATTATTTTAAAGTTGACAATGAGTTAAGCCTGAGGAAAATTCCAAGTGACAGATAAACATTGCATAAGGGGCATAATAATTTCTTGTAACTGAATTATTTTATGTGTAACAAAGGTAAAATAATGGAAATACAATTATTTGACAAATACATTAAACCCGTGCACGTAGCAATAAATCAAAAGCATGCCCACTTAGAAGTGTGTCAGTATTCTACCAAGTAGCAATTGAGTCAAGGTGGAAATGTAATTGAAATCACAAATTTTTCAGAGAATCAATACTGAAAACCTTATCATCTGTGGCATTCAACTGTTATTTAGTCACATAAAAAGTAAAGATTTAGATAAACACCTTTAGCAATACAACAGAATACAAAAATATGTAGCTTTTCTATATACGAACAATGAACAGACAGAGAAAGAAACCAGGAAAACAATCCCACTCATAATAGACTCAAAAAAAACAAAAAACAAAATAACAAACCCTATAAATAAACTTAACTAACGAGGTGAAGGTCCTCTACAGTGAAAACTATAGAACACTGAAGAAGAAAATTGAAGTCTAGAAGACCCTAGACATCCCATGTTCATACATTGGCAGAATTAATATTGTTAAAATGGCTGTACTACCAGGAGCAATGTACAGATTCAATGTAATCTCCATCAAAACTCCAAGGTCATTCTTCACAAGAATAGAAAAATCAATTTAAAAATTCATATGGAAGAATAACAGATCCTGAATAGCCAAAATGACCGTGAGGGAAAAGAGAAATGGTGAAGGTACCACAATACCTGACTTCAAGTTATACTACAGAGCCACAGTAACAAAAATATCATGGTAATAGAACAAAAACATTTTGTTTTTGATGGAAGACCAATGCAATATAATAGAAGACTCAGAAATAAACTCACCCAGCTACAGCCATCTGATTTTTGACATAGGAATCAAAAACATACATTGGAGAAAATGTCTCTTCAACAAATGGTGTTGGGCAAACTGGATATTCACATGCAGTAGTCTGAAACTAGATCTCTATCTGTATCCTGTACAAAAATCAATTCCAAATATATCAAAGATCAAAGTGTAAGATCTAAAACTCTGAAACTACTATAAGAAAACACTTACAGATATAGGCATAGGCAGTATTTTCTGAGTAGGGCTCCAATTGTTCAGGAGATAAGAGGAAGAATTGACAAAAGTAGTTGCATCAAATTAAAAAGGTTCTACAAATCAAAGGAAACAATTAACAGAATCCAGAGACAACCCCATAGGGTAGGAGAAAAAAATCTTTGCAAGCTCTTCATCAGACAAAGGATTAATTATCCAGAATATATAAAGAGCTCAAAAAAATTAAACATAAAAGAACAAATAATCCAACTAATAAATAGGCAAACGAGTTGAAAAGGCAGTTCTCAAAAGAAGTACAGTTGGCTAATACATGAAGAAATGTTCAGCATCCTTAACCATAAAGGAAATGCAAATCAAAACAACAGAGACTCCATCCCAGTCAAAATGGCAATCATCAAGAAAAAAACAACAGGGGGAGGGGGAGTATGACAAACAAGTGCTGGCAAGGATTCAGAGAAAAAAGAACCCTTACACACTGTTGGTGGGAATGTACATTAGTTGAGCTGGTATAGAAATCAGTATGGAGGTTGCTCATGAACTAAAAATACCACTACCACACGATCCTGCTAACCCACTCTTGGGCATACATCCAAAGGAATGTAAGTCAACATACAAAAGAGACACCTGCACACCCATGTTGATGGCAGCACTATTCACAACAGCCAAGCTATGGAATTAGGTTAGGCGCTCCACAACTGATGATTGAATAAAGAAAATGTGGAATATATACAACAGAGTATTATTCAGCAATAAAGAAGAATGAATTCATGTCATTTGCAGGAAAATGGATGAAACTGGAGATGATCATATTGAGTGAGATAAGCCAAGTTCAGAAAGACAAATATTGCATGTTTTTGCTCATATGCAGAATCTAGACCAAAAAAAAAAAAGACACAATTGTAAAACACTGTTTGGCGAGGCAACCAGCAGGTGGTAGAGGGGGAAAGAAGAGGGTAATGTGTGGGAGGGTGAATATGATTGAAGTTACATCATATACACGTATGAAAACAACATAATGAAATGCATGAAAAACTTAAAAAAGGAGAGGGGCAAGAGAGAGAGGGGCTAAGAAAGAGTAATATAGACAGTGAATTTGATCAAATACATGACATGTATGTATATAAATATCACAATGAAACATCTTTGTATAATTAATTTATGATAAAATTAAAAATAAAACAAAAATATTTACTTTTAAAAAGTAAATACTTAAATGCTTGTATTAAAAATAAATGAAGAACAATAACCAATGTATATATCCCATTCAAGAAAACAGAAAAAAGTTACTTGTAGAAAAGGTAAGGGGAAAAATTAGACACCAAAAGAAATAATCCAATTAATAGAAAACGAGCTGAACGACAATTCTCACAAGAAGTGCAAATGGCTAATAAATACACAAAGATGTACTTTTTCCTCTGTTGATGCCTTTCTCTGCTTCATCAGTCCTAACTCACCTGGCCCTATTTTCCCGTCACATCCCTGAAAGCCTTCTAGAGCAACTTGACTTCCTCTAGTAAATGATCACACTGCTTATAAACAGAACACCCTGCTTACAACAAAGAAATGTAACGTAATGTGTTTTTCTAAAAAAAGAATAAAAACCCATTCTTTTTTTGTGTGTGGTATTGGGGCTTGAACTCAGGGCCTTCACCTTGAGCCACTCCACCAGTCCTATTTTTGTGAAGGGTTTTTAGAGATAGGGTCTCACAAACTATTTGCCCAGGCTGGCTTTGAACTGTAATCCTCCTGATCTCTGCCTCCTTAGTAGCTAGGATTACAGGCATGAGACACTGGCGCCTGGCTGAAAACCAATTCTAAATCAAAATTATATTGATCAAGACTTTGGAGAAATGTGAAGGGATTGGAAGAATAATTTACCTTGCGAGTAACTACAGAATAACAAAGCATTACTAAGTGACCAGACAAGTGAAAGGTCTTACTGGTCTTACTCAAACCTATGCCGATTCTTTGTCTTGAGAGCCAGTTTAGTGTAATATTTAAGGACACTGCCTGAATAGAAAACCTACCTCTTGACATTAAGTGATTATGGTAACATACTTTTTTCCCCCCCTTTGGTAGTACTGGGATTTGAATTCGGCCTCACACTTGCTAGGCAGGTACTTTACCACGTGAGCCACT